TTACTTATCTGAAAAAGTAACTCAGATATTCTCTTGTAAATTAAAGTAATTAAAGTACTTTACTAGTTACTTGAAAAGAGTAATCGGATTACGTAACTCGCGTTACTTGTAAAGAGTTACCCCCAACACTGAGGCTAGAAACAATAAGGACAGTCTCTGAGCGCGTCTGGATGATGCCCAGATTCTGTTGGAAGCCCATTGGGTTACCTAAGGTTTGTGATTGTAACCGGCTGGTTGTCTTACCCCGCAGGGGTCCCGTCGTTGCAGGTGACTGATGTATTCTCCAGGAAATGTAACTTCATGTTGTAGTCGAGCTTCTGCGCCGAGCACGGGTAGAGGGACTGCGCCAAGTTCTTCACCTGAGTCATGAAATTGTCCATGTTTTCTTCAACAGCTGTGAAGTCCAGTGAGAAGCTCTCGGTGGTCTCGGCACGGTCCCGGTAGTGCGCGGTGGGAAGCGCTCGTCGCTGCTGCGGGTTTCGACCTCCGCGGAATCTCCTCGCGCCGAGCGCGCCGGACTGAATCAATCCCAGCATCACAGCCCAGTGAATGACACCCATCACCCTCACGCTCCTCTGCGGCCGCCTGCACTTCATCACGCTTTCGGAGACGCTGCTGAGAATATGCACAGCCGGTTACACGAAATTCAAATGCAAAACTTAGTTAAAAGTGATATGAACAGGTGAGCTTTCTCAGTGCAAAACTCAGGAGTCCCTTTTCTTCTTTTTAATAGTCTAGTCCCCCACTGACATGAACTCCTAACCGGATTGTGGTGTGCTCTTCAGTTCAATACCTCTGTATTTAACCGCTCTGGGGTTTAACCCTGCTCTCTTCCCCGTGAACCAATGGCTGTGGAGGGCAGTGCGACGGGGCGTGATCCAGTCACACTGATTTCTGTCCTTTTCATTTATTGAAAAAAAAAAAAAAAAAAAATGGCCATAGTTTGGTCCTTCTGATCTGCGACATTTTACTTGATGTGGTAGCTTTAATAGGCATCGAAATGCATGTTTCCTAATCCACGCGAATTTATAGAGTGAGAATAAGGCTCTTCTGACACACGCGGCTTTCGTGCATTGGAAAATATATAAATATAGGCTATAGTACGGTGGCCGAGAAGTGCAAAACAAAATCACAACTCTGAAAACAAAATAACAAATTACAAATGCAAACAGTGTTGGGGAAAGTTACTTTTAAAAGTAATGCATTA